TTACATTCAGGTCTTTGATCCATTTCGAGTTTACTTTTGTGTATGGGATTAGACAATAATCCAGTTTCATTCTCTTGCATGTAGCTGTCCAGTTTTGCCAACACCAGCTTTTGAAGAGGCTGTCATTTCCCCATTGTATATCCATGGCTCCCTTATCATATGTTAATTGACCATGTATGCTTGGGTTAATGTCTGGACCCTGTTCTGTTCCACTGGTCTATGGGTCTGTTCTTGTGCCAGTACCAAATTGTCTTGATTACTGTGGCTTTGTAGTAGAGCTTGAAGTCAGGGAACCTTATCCCCCCAGCTTTATTCTTCCTTCTCAGGATTGCTTTGGCTATTTGGGGTCTTTTGTGGTTCCATATGAATTTTAGAACTATTTGCTCTAGTTTGTTGAAGAATGCTGTCGGTGTTTTGATAGGGATTGCATTGAATCTGTAGATTGCTTCCATTTTGGCAGTATTAATTCTTCCTATCCATGAGCACGGGATGTGTTTCCATTTATTGGTATCTTCTTTAATTTCTCTCATGAATGTCTTGTAGTTTTCAGAGTATAGGTCTTTCACTTCCTTGGTTTGGTTTATTCATAGGTATTTTATTCTTTTTGATGCAGTTGTGAATGGAATTGTTTTTCTGATTTCTCTTTCTGCTAGTTCATCATTAGTGTATAGAAATGCAACAGATTTCTGTGTGTTAATTTTGTATCCTGCAACTTTGCTGAATTCAGATATTAGATTTAGTAGTTTTGGAGTGGATTCTTTAGAGTTTTTTATGTACAATACCATGCCATTTGCAAACAGGGACAGTTTTACTTCTTCCTTGCCAATCTGGATGCCTTTTATTTCTTTGTTTTGAAAGACAGTTACTTCTTCTATTCCAATCTGGATGCTTTTTATTCTTGCCTTATTGCATTGGCTAAAAAATCCAGTACAATGATGACTGGCTGTGGTGGGAATAAAGCTGTATTCCTGATGTTTGGAGGAAAATGTTCAGTCCTTTAACATTATTTACATTAGCAGTACATTTTTATAGACTTTATCAGTGATATAGCTCCCCTCTATTCCCAATATGCTAAGAGTTTTCAATTAGCAATTGATGTTTGATTTTGCAAAATGCTCTGAGTATTTACTGAGATGATCATATGGCTTTCCTATTTAGTATCTAATATAGTGAATTACATTGATTATTGTTTCAATTTTATAACAACCTTGCATTCTTAGGATAGATTTATTTTATGATACAATATTCTTTTATATATTGGTGGGTTTGATCTACCAAGATATTAAGAACTTTTAATATTTTTGTTCATGAGGTATATTCACTGGTCAGTGGCTGCTGCTGCTATTTTCTTCCCTCCTTTTCTTTCTCCTTCTCCCCCCTTTTTTCTTCTTTTTGTAATGTTTTCATCTAATTTCGTTAATAAGAGTAATTTTGGCCTTCTAGAATAACTTGGGGTTACTTTTCTGGAAAATTTGTAGAGATTAGCTATCATTATTTCCTTAAATGTTTGTCACAATTCACCAATAGAGCCATCTGGGTCTGAAGTTTTCTTTATGTGAGAGGTTTTTACTGTAAATTCAGTTTATCTACTTCTTTTTGCAATTTGATAGCTTATGGTTTTTTTAGAAAATTTTTTGTTATGCCCTAGTTGATGAATTTATTGGCATAATGTCATTTATAGTATTGTATTCTAATAACTGTTTTAACATCCTTGCCTACTGATTCTATCATCTTTGTCATATTTTGGTCAATTTTGAGTGATTAACTTTTATCCTCATTATGGATCAATTTTCCTGCTTCTTTGCATGCCTTTTAATTTTTTTATTAAATGAGAAACCAATTGGAAAAAAACATATACAAAAAATTGATATTACAATGGAAGCCAGAGAAATTTCAGTTTTGTTAATGAGGAATAAATGAAACATGGCTTAGTTTCTAAGTAGGAAGAGATCACAATAGTTGGAGATCCTTAAAAGACTTATAAGTAGCATCCCAGATATGCCTAATAATTAAACATGATTCAGACAACTAAAAATAAAATATGGTGACAGAGATTTTAATAAGACAGAAGAGCTTGAATATAAGAGGATGTGAGAGTTTTTGAGGAAGAGATGAAATTAATTTGGAAATTGAGGTTTATATAAAAGAAGAAATGAGATATGTATGTATTCAACATTTGACCACATTATTTACATATATCATTCCATCCCCAGAAATTGCAAATATCTTGAAGACAGGTATTGAAATGTATGTACAGGTGCCCATATATCATATACACATATGTATATGTGTCTGTCCTTATGTATGTATTCACATATATTTTACATGTACTCATATATTTTCTGCACAGCCCCAGGTGCAGTAATAAATGCTAAATAGTTATTAAGCTGACTTGGGGTTTTGATGCCGTTTTTACTAATTATCTGCTTATAAATAGCTGGTCTATGCTGTTTGATGAAACAGCTGTTAAATTGTTTTGCTACCAAGCAGAGTAGCTAGTGAAGTTTCCATCTATAGATAACTAAGGCAGAAACTGCTCAGGATAGGACATCTAGCACAATGTTCTTAAGCTTCAGGGATCAGAAAAATATACTTAACTAGTATTAAGAACACTGTTTTTCACTTGGTTTGCCTACTCTGATGAAAGAAACCATATGATTATTTAAAAGAGTTTTTACTAAATTAAAAGAATTTTTATTAAAATTTACTTGTTTATTTCATGCACATGACTTTGTGATTTCTTCTTCAATTCTGAGAATTTGCTCATAAAATGTTTAGGAAGTATGCAGTCTATAGTTACCTTCATTAAAAAATTTAAAATATGACATATACAAACACACACATACACACATTCTTCAAACACACAGAAACTCTGGATAAAATACAAACTACCATAGGTTAAATGAGGAGCTACAGAGAATTGGAGATCCCCAGGTTCCAGAAGGGTGAACTTAACCGGTGGGTAGACTTGGCTGGGTGTAGGCTGAGGCCATGAGTTGGGAGCTTTCTAATGTTCTTGGCAGGATGGGGACTGTGGCCTTAGGGTAAAAAAGAAAGAAAGAAAGAAATTAAAAATTTGTACAGATATATACAGTAAACCTTTAATACTTTGGAAACCACCAGTTTAGAGAGGGTATGATCATTTGAAAATGATTCATGAAGATGTTTGGCTTGTATTATTTATAAAGAAAGTGAAATAATAGCCTAAATAAGATTGTTGGGGATTATTTTATGTGTAAATAGATTACAAAAGCAAATTCACAACTGGAATAATAATTATATAAATTATTTAATTAACCTGTTGCCCTAATTGTAAATAATCTTTTTACATTAAAATACTAGAATCTTTTTATATCAATAAAAATGTGTACTCACCAAAGGAAGTTTGTTGCATACAGAGGAGATAGTGGAGAAAGAAGGCTTAGTAACCAAAAAGTATATATTTCCTTCCAGTTTTTTTTGGGTTGACATAGTAAGTTTGTGTGTGTGTGTGTGTGTGTAGTCATGGTTTTACAAAGTCATAACCTTACCTAAGTAGATTTTCTAATTGGGATATAATGGTTTTGGGGGTATTTTTTTCAGAGAACTTTCTTCTGTTAGGTTATAGGTTTATACCCCCCCATGATATAGCAATTTTGCTATTGTTTTTTAAGCCATAGTGAGAGGTGTGTGTGAGAGAGCATGTCCATTGTGCGAGTACTGGAGCCTCTTGGCGTCCCAGCTTTCATCAGGTGTGGTCTGCTGATGGGATGATTCCCCTGTGAACAGGGGCAGGCTGTCATGAGTTAGGAAGGGCAGTTGTGGGTAGTTTCCCACCAATGTTACCTCTCATTTTCTGTGATAGTTTATCCATTCTTGAGTTATTTATTTTAAGTCGTTTCTTATTAACTTATCAGTAGGATTGGGTTCCACTGCATATAAATAAATCTCAAAATAATAGTGCCTAATATGCAACATTTTTTTATCTTAAATGGAATAAGTCCAGAGGTAGGTGATTTCATTCAGAGAGATTCACAACATGGGATCCAGGCCACTTCCATCCTCCTCCTCTGCTGGACCTCACACAGTTTCAGTGCATTCCAGGCAGTAGGGAAAAGGCAACGGATAAAAGAGAGCCCCTTTCAGCTGAGTTAGCCCTGTTCAAAATAGTTGTTCTGAAAGTCTTATTCAACAACCTTCCTTTACTCTCTTAGGCCTGAATATAGCTTCAAGAGAGCCTGGAAAATGTAGTTTTTTAGTGGAGAAAATTGCTAACTCAAATAAGAGTTCAGTTATTTAGAAAGAAGGGGAGGCTTATTGTTTTTAAAACTACATCACATAACCAGTAACAACCAAGCTGTATCAAGTAATTTTCAGAAGAAGAATACATGAGTGGTATATTTTTAAGCCATTGCAGAACTGTAAAACTCTACTTTTGCACATAAAAGGCAATTTCACTAAGTATGATGTACTTGGGTCATAAGCATTACAAAAATCTCAAAACACTCTATGTGTTGGTCCATTATCATCACATGCAGTGTTTCATGCAAGCCTCAAAGCCAAGCTTAATTTTTATTTCTAAGTAACCTATCTTAGTAGATATTTTTGTGTTTTTTTGCTTTGCTGACTGTATGAATAAGATTTGTTAGTACACTATTTATTTTTCAATACTGTCTGCTAATATTTTATCATATAAAAATATGTGGTTCAAAAAGTAATAATTTATAGCTTCCTAAATAAGAAGTTTTAATCTAGGTATGGCTTTTTTCCATGGATAAATAACATGTTTCTTATAGATGGAGAAATGTCAAATATTCTTGTTGAAATTTTTAACTTGTCATCATACCCTAAGTTTTAGTGTTGGAAATCATCTAAAAATCCCTGAAAATATTTTTATTTGATGGCCTAAAAAAATGTTAAATGTTTTCTTTAATTTGTACATTTAATATTGGACTATTTCCCATATAGTTACAATAAATGTCTTTTTAAATTTCTCTCTTTTTTCTACTTTTTTTAAATAGACTAAGATGCTTAGTGAAGCAGCTGGAAAAAGGTGATGTTAACGTCGTAGACTTAAAGAAGAACATTGAATATGCAGCATCTGTGTTGGAAGCTGTTTATATTGATGAAACAAGGTAAATTTTAGCTGCTTCTCCCTTGTATCTTCTTTGCCTCTCTACCTTTTTTCCTCCTTCTTGACTTTTCTTTATCTCAAATATGAACTTAGCATATGTTAGTCAGGAAACCAAAATCAGAATCGTACTAAAATTTAAAAGGTTCTTCTTCATAAATGTTTAATTCAAATGCTTGAATGTCAAAAAATAGTCTGACAACAAAGTCATAAAATGAACAAATTAAAGTCCTCTCTCCCCCTACCATCACTGTCTTAGGCCTAGATTTTTAAATGTCAGATACAGATGTAGGCTTATGCTGATTTTCTGTGATATAAGGATTTTCCTATTACCTCAAGATTTCAGAGTTCCCTCTGAGAATATGGGTGTCACATGCCCACACATTCTCATGAGATGCATCTATGGGAGCTGTGCGGGCTTGCTAGGGAGCATTCCTAAATGTGTGCCTGCTCATCACCTAAACCTCATCACTTAGCCGCATAATGAGCAGAGTGGTAAGGAGATTTGGAAATGGGGATTTACTTGAAAAGAGTTGTTAACCTTGTGCTGTGGCTCTAAGTAGCCAATTTGTCTTCCAGGGATCATTTGACACTATCTGTAGATATTTTTGACCTGGTTAATGGAGTCATGCTACTGTTACGATGGGTAGAGACTAGGAATGATGTTAAACAACCTATCTCAAAAAGGTAAAGGTGGCAGGATGATTAGGACTACTGTGAATTCCCAGATAAGAAGGACCTATGGAAGGAGATACACGCACTTCCAGAGTTTAGCGTGGAAAAGGCACTGAGTTTCTTCAAAATCATGAGACAGGTAGAGTAGGAGCCTTTTGAGGGAATTGACCAAAGAATACTCACTTCAGAAAGTAAAAAAGAGGCTGCATGGGGTGATTGTTGATTTAAGAGCCAGGTTAGGAATCACGAAAATTCAGCCCAAACACCAGAGAACATACCATGTTCAAGGTGCCGTCTAGGTGCAGAGAGTTGTCCCTGGAGGGCCATCGAAAGCTCCTCAGGGGAGAAAATAGCCAGCATTTGGGTGCTTGTCACATAGATGACAGCAAGCACACCAGTCTTGTAAGAACTTCTGACCCCCATGGTTTCCTGCCTTTCCTCAGCATATTGCTGAACAATGAGACATGGCAGGGTGGGACAGGAAACAGAACACGGATAGTGAGGACGTCCACCCTGCCTCTTCCCTTCCGTGAGTGTCCTGCCCGGGTCAGGCCTGAACTTAGGGGAGGTTTAATAGATAACACATTCACATGATTAAAAATAAAATAATTTAAAACAATGTTCATAAAAGTCTTGGCTCCTCCCATGTCCCAATCTACTCAAATTTCCAACTCATGAATTTCTTATGTATATTTCCAATGATTTATTACAACTTTTTATTTCATATTTTGCTTTCCACCTTTCATGGAAGATACAATACTATATACTCAGCCTTTCATTTAACTTTTCCCCCATAAATAAGGAAACTTGGAAATCTTCCTAAATCATGTACTGAACTTTAAAATATCAGAAAATGAGACTTTTCATCAATAACTGACAGAAAGGGGCATGCTGAGGACTATATTACATGAGTGTTTCCGTTTTTGTTTTTTTTCGTCTCCAGAACAGAACTCTGTTTAATTATGGTTTGACATCATAAATTAAGAAGAAAAAAAATCACAGGCACACTTCTCGGTTTTTAACTTATGCAGAATTGTTTTCTTGGTTAACTTTCCCCGAGTGTATATAAATGTACAAGATTCCTCTAAACAACCAGAGATTCAAAGTGCAAATCAAAAAAAAACTCTGCTGCTGCTCCTATAATTTCCTGGCTGCTTCATTTTCATGTGTGCTCTTTATAATTCACAAGTTGACTGAACATGTTTAAGATTTCTTCAATCTGCTTGACATTTTATTTTTTATATTTATTTGTACCTTTTACCTTTAAAAAAAATATTTGGAGATTTACATTATTCATCTTATAATGGCATAATGCTAACTCTTTGGCTTGCCTATCTTGTCTTTCATTTGATAAATTATTACATGACACATTTATTACTTTTTCTGTTGTTTTTCACTTCCCAGAAAATTATGATTCCTTAGATTATTTTGTTAACTTAGCTCCCCATGATCCCAAATTCATTCAAACATATGTTACATTTCAAAGTATAGTTCTTTTTCATTTGAAAATTGTTCTTTGGTGTGAAGGAAAAAAATGTTTAACTGCTTTGCAATAGAATTATTTGTTCTATTTTGTTTTTGCTGTTTACAAAAACATCCCAGCTTTTAACACTATAACATTCCCAATTTTTACTCAAATGGTACAACAATTTCACTATTTTATCTAAATACTTCCATGGCATCTTGATTTTTAAATTGGGTTAATAATAATAATATCCAAATTTGTACCATTTTCCAGGGGCTCTTAGTTTCATATCTCGTATTAGTCTCGCTACCTCCTCTGCAGCTGGCTGGGTGATCATTACGTTCTGTACCTCATTAATGAGAGAACTAAAGCTGTGAGAAGTAAACTGGTTTTCTGAGGGTCACAGACCTAGGCTTTGGCAAAACTGGGACTAGAAACTAAGATATGACCTCCAACAGTGCTCTTTCTGTAACTGGCTCCTCTCAGAGTACCACTATCAAGCAGGACGGTTTTTAATGACCTTTAGAAGATTTAGATAATGTGTGTAAAACATTCTGACAGTTGGAATTGTAAATCCTGGAAAAACCATACCCAACATTTATTACTAATAGCCTGTTATTACAGCCTGCTCTGGGCCAAGAACTCTTCTAAGCATTTTCATGCACAATTTCATTTAACCATCACAGCAATCCTAGGAGACATTACCATTTTACATATGAAGAAATAGAGTCACAGAAAAGTTACACAGCTTACCCAAGGTAACACAAAGAGTAACTTCAAAATGGAGTGAGGGCCTTGGCAGCTGGACTCTGGGGCTTGGGTAACAATTAAGCACAATTTTCATCTGCATCCCTTTAGTAACATCTGACCAAAAGGCAACTTTGGAGACTTACTACAAGTTTTGATGAAAACTCGTGGCTGTCAGGGCTGTTAGACCCAGTGGTGTGCAGACTGGTGTTGATTCTCTTCTCAGCTCTGCCTTCTTCAGCAATGTCACATTGGTAGCTTGAAATTGACTACAGTGGTAATATTTACACCATGGCCATTGGCAAGTGCTATAAATCAGGATTTGTTATTTGTTTTTTTCCTGGAAAGACTGTGGTTAAATATTTACCATCATGCCACAAATCTGAGGTCACTTTCTATGTATCTGCTAAGGTTGTGATTTTATGATCAAAATATCAGCTCAAAAAATTTTAGAGCTATACTTGATGTGGTTTGATTTCCTATAGACTTAGTCATATGTAGCAACACACTGAAGATGTTTTTGTAGAAATGCGGTTATCATTGTTAAAGTTGCATTTGCCTTTGGAATATTAGTAAAACAGATGATTTAGAAGGAGAATGGATGAAGAAGCATGTAGTTGCTTTTAAACTTTAAATAAAACACCGGCTGACTTCTGAGATGTTTTTTAATGGAAAATTCTCTTTCTAGAGAACAATATTTCAGTGAGCATCCAGAGAGGGTTTTTTTTTTTTAAAATTTGGGCTGGACTACAAAAAGAAATCAACACATATTAAAGCAAGATAAAATAGCAACTATGAACTGATTTACCGCCACCCCCACACATACACACCTGCTCCTTTTCCTGCTGAGCTTTAGCGACTCAGGGCTTCAGTTTAGAAAACCAGTCGAAACAGCAGCAACAAAAACTACTGAAAGATGATTTAAGAGAGAAAAATTAAAGCAGCGTTTCTGATAGAATTTTAATTTCGACCTTCTTAGAGGGATTATAGCACAACTCCCTAATGAATACAGCTGTTTATTGGTCTCTAAAGAAGACATTTTCAAATGCAAATGCCAGGACTTTGTGAGTCCTGCTTTCAGACGCGTCCCTAGAGGCTATTGTTTTTCAAAGCTGCACAGTTGTAATCCAGAAATACGTGGCCTTAAAAAAAAAGAATTCTGCTTGATTGTCCTTATTTGGGTTGGGATATTGCCAAGGAAAGTGGCGTCCCTGGCCTCATGAATTGCTGCTATTCATGAGGGTAGGCATTGACTAGAGGTATACTTTCAGAGATGGATATCATGCTTACCAAACCTAACAATACAATGTCTAACTTCATTTTGTTAATGTGAACCAATCCAAATCTTGCTATTGCCATAGTCACAGCATGGAGTCTCGGTTCAGAAAGCCTGGATTCTCCATGCAATACTTCTTTTCTTTAAGCAAGTTATTTAATTTATATTTGCTAGCTTTAGCATCTGTAAAATGAGAATGACAGTTCTGACCTCGTAGAACTAATCTGAGGATTAAATATAGCACAAACCTGACCAACTGAAAGTTAAATAACAACCATTATTTTTTTTTTGTGCTAATAAAAGTGCAGATACGTCTAGGATATATAACATGTTAAGATAATAACTTATACTTTCTAGTGAAGATATCAAATAATATCCTGAGAGCAGTTTTTGATTCTGGAAAAAAAAGGAGGACAGGTGGGCTCTAAATCCCTGGAAATGAAAACAAAGTGTAAACTGATGGAAAGGAATCTTAATTAGATACACATTTTGATAATAACATCTTGGCTCTGTGTCTTACTAAGTCTAAGGGTCCTTCATTTTGAGAGACTAACTTGAGCAAGAGTGCATGGATGTCCCGAGTACTTCAAGGAGTTCGTCTGGTAGAAAGTGAATGAAGCCCAGGGCACTTTAGAAACTATCATGTACAATGATATCATCATGTACAATGATTTATCAAGGAACATTCATTCATGAAACAAATACTTGTTGAGAACCTGGTCAGCAAAGTCAGGAGTATAACTGTGCATATAGCTGGTAGCTAGAAATGGGTCAAGAGCTGTGAAGATAAATGTATATGCAAGGACAAATGCCGCAAACAAGAAACAGGGAGCCTCAGGGT